CCATGTTATCCTAAAAAGATACATCGTAAACAAGTATCAAATAAACAATATACAGGGAAATGTTATTACTATTAGTAAGATTTCTAAAATCCATTGTTGTATCGAAGAATAAGCTGTTCTATTTTCAATTTTTTAAGCAAAACATCCACTGATATTTCTGGTATTTTACTCCTACTTTTATTTATAGAAATGTTTTAAATTCAGTCGAGAACGTTAAGTAAATTTAATAAATTATCCTCATGTACAAGTATAGCTTTATTTAAGTTTAACAATGATCCCTTAAAAGACGCTTTTACTTTAATTCAACTTTTCTTAAACCTAACTAGTCAATAATAAACGATAGTTCTATAATGTATTTTAGATAGTAAAATTCTATTTTGAAGAAAGACCAGCTAGTTTGAATAAATGGATAATAGAATCAAATGGCATTCGTAGTACTTACTTCTCAGATAATCAATTTGACAGTAAATATTTGATCAAAGGCTCTATATTTAAATCATCATATTTGATTTTGTAAAATTTTATTTTACTTTGTAGAATATAGATATGCTCGTTCATGAATGAGAAATTAATCTCATTCTATTTTATCTTGCGATACTAAAAATAATTCATACCCTTATATTTTACTTTAGCCTATCATTAAATCAATTTAACAGCATTTTGCTACGGCTTTATAGTCTGACGGAAGTAATGCTACTGCGACTACCATATTAGCAGTTTCAGAGCTGCAAAATCGGTATGAATTCGTAGTAGGATCTTAAAATTTTAAGAAAAAAAGAAAAAATAGCTAAATATATTAAGTAAATTTACACATTTTCTATTTTGGTAAAATTATAAGTTTAAATATAATAATTAATTGCAGTCTAATATTTACCTAGTCACAACTTTCAAAGCTAAAAAATATCAAAATAGCATCGTTAACAGAAGGTAGTCATAACTGAACTAGAAGAAGTAAAGATTAGAAAGTTATTAAAGTTTGTTCGAAAACAGATATTTTACGACCGCATATGATTTATAGCTATCGTTAATAAAAATTGATATTGCAGCTCAATGTTCAAACGCTTAAGATCATAAATTAGAAAAATTAATGAATACGTTGTTCATATTGATTTATAAATTAATATTAATTGGACATAAATTATCAACTCATAGAATATTTCATGACTATAAAGCGTACATCAAAGCGAAAATTTTTTTCTTAACTTATGTATATTTTGAATGTTACTGCACAATTGGTCCTGAGAATTGGCAATCCCATCAAAGACTAAACCACGTTATATTACTAGAAGATAATAAACTATTATAAACTATATTTTTTCTGTTATATGAAGACAATTGTGATATCGAATGACTTTCCAAAGCCTATTACGAATGGATTCACACTAAATTAATTTTAATCTTTAGTTCTGTTGTTTTCCAACAGGATCATCGCCATTAGAGCTGCATTCGGTCTCTGCATCTCTCACCTTAAGTCTCAGTTATTAATGTGTATATCAATTTTTATTTAAAATTTTGATTTATATTTAAAACCCACTTTTGATTTATCTTCTTGAATTATAATTATTAATAACTCTTTCAGTAACAATAACTCCTGTTGATGTTATTAATCCAAAAATCCTATTTATAGTCACCTAACGAAACCTTTCTACAAGAAGAAAGGACATGATTACCTTCCAGCTGCCAATTCATCTTATAAATAATAGCAAATATGATTTAAATTGATCTGCCATTATTTGCTAAGCTATTCTAGGCTAGTTCAAAGTAGTTGCAGCTAAACTCTGATTATACGTAATTAGTCGTACTAAATAGGCACTGAACGTCAATGTAGTAGTTCTGTATGATATTTTCATTCAAGAATTCGGCCAAAACATAGCTAAGAATTTCCATGGTAATGTAATTCGGATTTTCAGCGAAGAAAATTATTAAATTAAAATAGTATGACATTTTAAAATGAGCGTTTACATTTTAGGACGACAAAAATAATGTTCGTTTAAGGCGTTCCCTATTAAGTAATTGACAGATCTTCTAAAGGAAATTCTATATTTATAAATCAGCTAGCTCTATTACCATTTCGAGCCATTAGTATCATTTGCATTATAATAGAAAGAATAATAGCGATAAAATCACTGATGTTAATCTGACGTCAATCTCACTCAATAGAACGCTAAATCAAAAACTGCTTAGAATTGACAGCGAATTAATACCAGAAACTAATGGAATCCATAAAGTTGACGATATTAGAGAATACAGAAGTAATTCGCTGAACTGTATTCCAAATTGGAACCAGAAGAACTTTATAAAATCTCAAAAGTTAGGAAGCAAATAAATTAATGCTCTATTCGATAACATACAGTATTATCGCTGACTATAATTAAATTTGCAATATCATCAAATCGTCAAGTGTAAGAGAGGAAAATTTTACATTGCTTTTATCATAGTTAAAATGATTGATAAGCAATAAACAAGAAAAGAGATCTCCAGAATGCTATGCTAACTGTATTGTCTTAGCTATTCTTTCAATAATCATAATGGTTAAGTTTGCATTGAATTTATTCGGAGAATGAAATTGTATTTTAGTTTATTCCCGAGAAGAGACCAAAACTGTATCAGTACCGTGCAAGATATTAAATAATTTAGGAAAATTATTATTGCCTTAATTAGGCTATAAATGTTTATAAGTCCTTCTTAGTTTCAGTTACAGGAGCAAACTTAAGAAGATGAGATATATTTAAAATTTAATTTTAAAAGAGGAAATCAATTGTAATTGATTGAGGCTAACAACGATTGATAGCCTAAATCTATTTTATATATCATCCCAGTTTAATTATTCAAGATAATATAATATAAATTTAAAATGGGAAATTGGCTTACAGGAAGTGTTAAGAAAATAGAGGTGGCAGCTATTATTAATTATTACTCCTGCCTCTGGGGTTTCAAACATGAACTTGTGATTACGTGATTAATTATTTGATAAAAATGGATGGCTAAATGTTAATGCAAATCACAAAGTAGTTAGTATGTTACAGATCTGCTAATTAATCTGTAATTACCTCTCAAACCAGTTACAGTAGCATTACATTAGCTGAACAACATAAACCTAGAAGGCGTGTTCATATTATAATTTTCAACAGATAATCTGATATTAGGCATCGAAGTAAACTACCATATTTAATCATCAATTTTTACACAATATCATAGCAAAGCAATACATGATATAAATATCGTTTGATACTTGCCCAGTGCCCACCCAATGAACTTAAATCATGCATTCGAAACTGAAAGAAGGCCTAGAATGCTCAATAAGACAGTAATTGTGGGTAAATATATAGTGGCTATATTTTTTAGTTCGCTGCACCTTAAATCGATACTGCAACAACTTAATCCACAAAGATTGCATTCACAACTGTATAGCTAATTAATTTACCTATACACCTAAATTTCTTATCAATGTTTATGTTATCTATACTTACTAAATCTATATTCCAGGTAAATCTAAACATACTTTTGAAGGAATCTTTAATTCTACTCCGTAGGCAATACAGCTACCTATTTATTAATAAATATCGATATAGATACAAATTCCATAATATAGAAAATCATATTGATATGTCAGCTATGGACTATCTGGTATCCAATTATGAACCTATGTTGCTATGATCATGTTCTCGCCATAAGTGGACATAATTTAGTTCATTCATTCAGAGGAAATTACGTCTGCTGCCTATTTTCTATATCTGTTTACCAGGGAAACTGATTATTACAAGCCATTATTTCTTTCCAAATTTAATTTATTAATTACTTCATTACTTTACAGTATATGAAAGCATTATCTAATAATAACAGATTTTAAATATAACAATTTCACAATTAATTGCCTTATCAAGATACCAACTCTGATTTAATAAGCAATAAAATTTACTGTCCTTTTTTGATAGGCCTAACTGCCTTTCTAACCATTTAATTATTTTGATTTAATCGCATGGGCGTATACAACTAACAATAGTCCAACTTATATCGCTTATAATATAATCTGAACATATTTAAATAGATTCACATAACTAAATTACATGAATTAAAATTTAACATAATATCTAAAAGCAAGTTTCCGTAATTAATATATGAGAAAAAAACTTCATCAACAATGTGCCTTTATATTAGCAATGGCTGTTTCCAAAGAGTTACATTTCCGTAAATACTTCATTTTTGAAAAACAGTAATCTCTAATAACAGAAATTTCTATTTTATAGACTATACCTTTCATTTACCACTATTTTAATTTTCTTAACGAAAATATTTACGGATCAAATTTTCAAATTCGAATTGATTTGGAGATTCCCTTCACGAAATTGGAAACTTCAATACTGCGACTTTCATATAATACAAGTATCGAGATGGAAAATTGCATTTCTGCAAATTGTTCAAATCATAGCACACTCCAACCAGCAAATGTTTCGTCACGATATGAAATTTATAAGATTTTCAATATCCTTTATGCTATTATTTCAGCCTTAGGCATGACAGGTAACGTTCTTGTATGCTGTATTGTTACTAAAACTAGGACCTGTCAATTTCAATCCACCGAAATGTTTATACTGAGCTTGGGAGTTACTGACATGCTTGCTAATCTGGTCGTTATCTTTTTGCCGGATTTAATAATACCGAATAGTTTATATCCGTATCCTATAAAACATCTTGCATTTTTTTGCCCATTTATTGGTTCTCAATACCTTTTATTTTATTTTGGATTTACATCCCTTTATACGATGATGGCAATAAGTTTTGAACGCTGGTGTGCTATTGCTTTTCCTTCTCGATATCGGTCTATATTCAAAGCTACCAACGTCAAAATTACAGTGGCTTGCATCTGGATATTAGGTTTGCTATTGCCAATTGACAATTTACTTAGATATGTGGAGAATAAAAACGGAAGTACACCATGCCATTTTATCTTGCTAAGTAATGATCAATCTTTGGATTTAGCAGTTTACTTAACATTGGAAATTACTCGGGTATTTTTACCAGCTGCAATAATTATTCTTATTTATTGTGATTGTGCCAGGCGTATTTGGTCTACAACAGTTCTTCGTCAGTCGAGCATAAGATCAAACAGGGACGTAAAAATTCGCAAAAGAGTAACATTAATGGTGTGTACATCCGCCATCGTATTCTTAATGTGTTGGCTACCAAATGAAATCTACTTCACTTTAATCAATTTTGGTTTGGCAAGATTAGAATCCGTTGGACATCGATCAGCAAAGACGTTGATAATTTTAAATTCATGTCTTAATCCATTTATCTACTTTGCTACAAATTCCAAATACCGATTGGCTATCAGGCAGGCGTTTACGTGTAAAAAAGGGGTTGCCTCTTCTCCTACTTCTTTAATAGAAGTAGAATGCAAAGCAGTAACTATCATCAGGTGTAGCCAAAATTCGCCTAAACCAGTAAAGATAACTTCACTTACAAAGATCAAAACGGACATCGAGCTTCATCTAGCCGATGTTTGTGAATCGTAAATATCTGTCATATACAGCAGCAATTTCATCCGAAGTAATGAACTATCACGCTAAAAGTAATCAGAAATAGAATTATTTTCTTAATTAGCATTACAAAGTTATAGCTATTTTTAATCTCCCTGTGTAAGTTAAAAACTTAGCCTAAGCCATTGCACCTTCATTCTATCAGTAATATTATAAAATGTCATGAATGAATGATACCGCATACAGTAAATGAATTATTATCGATAATTTTTAATGTTTAAATCTTAGCTGCCATTTCACTCATACGAATCGACTATATAAGAAAAGTTAAACTATCTTCGACAATTATTCGGAGTATAGATATTATAATTTCAGACCTAGTCAATGAATATTTAAACTATTTATAACTTCCAATTCTTTTTCGCTAGTAGGGTAATCTTATAAAAACGTCCAATTCAAGCGTATGGGATCTTGAAAAGTTAATCTAATTTTCATTATAACCCAATATTTTGCCATCATAGGATTGAATTTTGATTGTAATAGTCAATTTGATATATTTTTCATTTCGACTTTATGGTTTTCTAAGCGATCCATAACATTGAATCACAGCATCATAGCAGTATACTTGGAATTTCATCCTCCTTTCTAATATAATATGTCGAGAATAATGCGATAAATTAATGACCATACGTATTTCTCGATATTTATATTACCTTCTAATTTTATTCCAAAATATGGCTATAAATATAGATTTTATAAGATTATTTAATGAGCTGTACAAGTTCATGTTAATAGAGAGAAAAATAAGAATGAAAAGGATCCATAAAGTATATACATCTTATCTTATATCGAGACTATTTCTGTCATGTGCATTATAGAATATATTCTAATTTAATGGCTCAGAAATTAAAAAAAAAGATAAATAGATTTCATTGTTTTTACCGCTTTTGCGTACTCTATTATTTACGCTATAAAATGTTCTGTATTACCTATCCAAAATTGCTACGCAGTAAAATTCTGAATATTTAATTACAGCTATAAATTAACGGTTAACAATATTTTGGATAAATAAACAAATAATCTGTTAATTACCCCCAAATTCCCTTAAGCTTGAATGGGAGAAGTTTACCTTAATTACAGTTCTCGAGCAAATTATGCTGTATCGAAATATTTAAGATCTCATGCATAGTGATCCAAAAATATCTTTTACTGGTAAAATAATCTCTTGCCATTTTTATTACAAATAAGGAATGCTACAGTACACATAGAAGCATAATGGCTTATGGTTTGTGCATTTTTTGCTGCAATCATTTCTTGCATTATTTATTTTAGATTTAATTGACTTTATACATTTATAGTAAAACGGCGATTGTTATGTTCTTCAATAATAAGTTCACTCCGTGAGTAAGATTGATAACTGCATTTTATTATTAGTTGATCGGTATTTATAGCCACACGAGGTTACACCTCGATACGATTACAGTTTATACTTCGCTCTACAATTAGAAACTTATCAGTCCGCCTTTTTGCAATGTTATCACCTACTGTATTACAATTACTACCGTACAATCATCACATACGTACATATATAGTGTTTCCTTTATTTATGCCTTTATGGTTAAGATATCGTATTTAATCTATTACTAACTATATATACAACAGCGATACTTAGAGCAAATTTCATATTGCACAGCACGAATGATAGCATTGCTTATTTTTTCCAAATAATAGCATCTACCGGAAATACTATTAGAATCTTGTAAAAAAATATCGATATAAGCTACGTGCACAATAAATCTGGGTCTAATTTCTTTAGTATGAACTATTAATCGCGGCACCGTAGAAGCAAAAATGTACCATAAATTAAAATTAATTGTATTAGATAATTTCTAATAGCTGCTACTATTTCTTGCAATTAACTGTGAAAATAAAAATACTATTAACTGAATGAACTTAATGCAACCGACAATCAAAAGCAACTAATACGATAGAAGTTTCATTCTTAAAATTACCCTGTAAATGAATTAAGCGATATTTAAATAAATACTACCTCATGAAGTTGTAAAAGCGATAAGTGAATGATTATTTGGATGTGTTGCCTTCCGTTAAAATAAATAATGAGAAAAGTTTGCTAAATGAATTCATACCATTGAGGTTAGCATGATTCGGATTCTGGAGTGAACAATGCAAATATATATGGATTCTAGGTAAAGGTATTTTAAATTTATTTCTGATTATGGCTTAGCTATGACTTACAACACGATTTTTTAAATTATTTGGGAGTTAGAAAAATATTTCTTGCGAAGCAAATGATCATGCAAAGCCGGCAGCAGTTATAATTATCAGTTGATTCCTCAGTTGTTCACTAGCAAAGCATCTACCATAGTCTGTTACATATAGAATTACTAAGACATCGTTAGCTAAACAAAAAATAGAAATATTAAGTTATTTAGCACTCAATCAAATACTGTATTAAAGATGCTACAGTTCGTATTTTGACTTCAGCAAGAGAATATCCTGTGTTATTTTGCCATTGGTATTTGATGTAGTGCAATACAATTTATATTGATCTGTTAATTGTTACCTAGTATTTATAAATAGTAGTAAGAGCTTAAACATTAGTTTAATGATTCAAATCACGCCGATTTTCACAACAGTATATCTAAATGACACAGACAAGTTATTCAAATGCCAAAGTTGTGGCAAACATCAGATCCATTTTGTTTTCAACGTCATTGAAGTTAAATACGGCAGGTTTATGCTGACGTACTGATACTGTTTATTGCAAAATTTCTCTGCTAAAGTAAAGCTATTTCTTCAACTTAAATATGATAAAAGCAAATTCTCAATATGGCCTGTATATGATCGCCTTAAAATACAATACATATTAGCTGGCGGAAAACTTTTCCCGGAATTAGTACCCATAAATTATGAATTCAAAATCATATTACTTGCTGATAGATATTAGATTTCATTAATTTTATTTCTCAGATCGACTTCCAAGATTACTTCTCTTTAATTAGACTAATATTTATGCATTAGCTTTATCTAATCCAGTAATCATATATAAAGTAAAGATCAGCAACAACAGTTTACTGATACCTAAATAACGCTAGTCTAATAATTTTTAGACAATGTCTTTACTGAACTAAGAAAGATCTGTAAGATAAATAACTAAACATTATCGAGCTACTTCGTGAATGCGAAATAAATGGTAACGTGCTTTATAACATAGGAATATGAGAACGAAAATAAATTAGTGTTTAGATAGATTGATACCAGCCCTTAATTATTATTATTAAGAATTCACCTAGCACAGAATGTATGAGCATCTTACTATCTTGTTGAATTGTAATTATTTCTTAGAAGTACATGCATCCTTCCGGCAATAATGCACAATGCCCACTGTGCATGGCTTAATAAAATAATTTAATTAGATAACTTAGGGTAATTTTCAAAAGTAAAATTTAAAAATTATCGGTCAATAATTAATTAATCATATCGCTTTAAATAATTTCGCTCATGAAAGTTATTAGATCAAACCATGAAGTAAAGTCTAAATAACTAATATGTGCCATGCAGTAGAATAAAATTTAAAATATTTCAGTTATGGTTTTTATGTACCGTTTTCCTGCATTACGTTAAATACATATTCACTGTGAGGTTGATAGATCAAGAATCTTCAAAACGTTAGAAAATTAAGATTTATTGAACAAAACCTCGTTTACGAAGGTATAACGTAATCGATTAGCTGAGGACCTCTAACGAGAAAGAACTCCCTTACTATACTAAACTACTCGCTTATATACTTTTCCACGTTTACAGTCTTAGCACCTTTACTTACTACACACTTCAGTATTAGCATCTCAAATACAGGCTAGTTTACACCTTTCACCTGAAGCTCTAGTGTGAGCACTGTAGCACTCCTCTTCAAAAGGATTACAGTTACTAAGCTAGCTATATTTAATACTTAAGCCTCTAGCGAGAATATCAATCCCATGTTGAACACAGCCCTACGGTAGACATTACTAAATATATCATCAACTTAGAATACAATATTACACTGTCTTACAGTCACCACTAAATCAGAGATCAAGTTAATTTCTTCTTTGTTTAGAAAAAAATTGAGGAGAAACTGATTTTAAGATATCTAAATGCAAAATTTTTATCCTAGATCTCTGTTTTGGAACTTATCGTGATACCATATGAATTACTATGCTACGATGTAAAAAATTAACGCCCGATAATAAGTCGTAGTATTATCACAGCATATGTTATATATCTTCTTTCGGAGAGCTCAAATTACGCCAGCGGATCATAACAATTCGTATATTTTCAAAAATGATAAAATTTATCTGCTTGGAAAGTAAATTTGTATAAAATCGACTAGCTATTAATTAGACATAGCCATAACCTCGTATACTGTAACCATTATTTATTAATAAGTTAAAAATTGAAATTTGTTTTCCAAAAATCCATTTTAATAGCGAAGATGAAGCGAAGCAACTTTAAGAAAGTATTTATAATCCAATAAAGGAGAGCTATGTTCAATCGCAATATGAGCATGGAGATATATTAATCGGCAGAATTTTACTAAACATATATTGAGTATTCGATGGTACTGAGAAGAAATTTTGTACCAGATACTCAAAAGGCAAATGGAATTAAATTTATTATGGAAAATGCCTAATAATTTAATTTGTCATTTGTAAGATTTAATTTAATTCAATTTAGATTTATTTTATCATTAGATGATTCGTAAAAATTAGGATGGTGTCCCAATCAAATTTTCTTCAAATGATTCCGAAGAGTGGAGATGCTGTAGTCACAGTAGATTTTCGTGCTGCGTATGATCTTACGTCAGT